GAGTACTCCATAAAGCTTTATCACAGTCCTCCTATGATTATGTGGTTTTCAAACAAGAATATGAGACCTTTATGAGCAGTAATCATGAATCACTGGGGATCATAACTTAATTATAGCACTATTTCCCCTTAAACTGGTTATAAACATAGTTATTTATTATTAATAATAATAGTTTTCACATTCGTATCAGAATGCCTGATCACATTTGTCTGAATTTGTGATGGTATAGTCTATAATCTACACAGGCAGCTATATAAATTACTATCTAACTTCTTCTATCTATGGTATTTTAAAATTACACTTTGTGGTCTGATTTCCTGCTGGCACCACCATGAAGGGTGCAAATGAAATGTGAGAAAGAATTCAACTACTGATTTTGACAGTGACAATGATAAATGAAAAGTCCACAAATCAACACCATAAACAGCTAATACTTTGTGAATAATTTCAGACGTCATAGGAGATTGTAAGTATGTGTGTAAGAATTTTGCTAATTAGTATAAGTTTAAACAAGCATTCAAATTTTTTCACAGTTTAGGGGCTCAGGCTAGTAATATTTTTCTTTACATTTCACTACCGCAGAATGCTGATTTATGAATGACACTTTAAACTAATAACATCTCTTTAAATGAAAGAGTTTAAGACCAGGAAGTCAAATCAGACTGTATCAATGGCATTCATTTTTATTTTTGCATTCACTTTGAAAAGTTTGCCTCTGAGTAGAGGTTTGTGAACATGAGTTACTGAGCTTTTAAGAAACCAATTCCTTCTACTGGCCTGCATAACAAACCTGATAGATGGCTTCATGTCCTTAGCACCCAGTGATGTCATGAACACAACTGACTTTTAATCTTTTTTTTCCCTTTCTTTTAGTTCTTATACCAGATTAAATTTGCACATGTTGTTTTAAAACAATGCATTTATAAATGTTTTACCATAAATGACTGAGATGTGCAATTTTTTTGTTACCTGAATATCTTCAAGACTTGGTATCAAGACAACATTTGGAATAGCCAGTTGAATTTCAGCTTTGAACAAAGGAACCCTCTGTGTCTCTACAAACTTGGTCATCTGATACCTAGAGTCAACAACACGCAATCGATGTCTTAAGGACTCTAAAGAAATCTTCGTGCCTAAATAAATATAACATTTAAGTGAGGTTATATTTTTTTTACCACAATAAGCTTGGGAAAAAAATCTTAAAGTGATATTAAAAAATTAAACATATCTGAAAAAGACAGACTCACATCTGATTAAAGAGTCAGTATTCTTCTGACAAAGCTGTCCCATCAGATTATAGTAACTGCAGGACAGGCATTCTTGGCAGCGCGTTTTCTGTTTCACGTCAAGATGTGTACAGGCGTATGGATCCTGAAGAGTTAAAGGGAAATTCTTAGGAATATAACCATATTATCCAGCACATAAGTGAAATAGCAAGTATCTGACTAGGTTATAGAAGGTTACTTTTTACACTGTAGAGGTCTTACCTCTTGAGTTCTTCCAGCATCTGCTTTCAGCCTGTGCTTAAGATTATCCACCAGTTCATACACAGAGCATTCCACTTGCTGACTCTGTCTACAAAAACAACCTTACAGTCACCCACAGGGAATCAAACAAAAGGAATACCCTTTGTTATTTTCCAGGCACACCCCCCCAGTCCTACTGCACTGTGAAGAATTGTATGTGCAGAGAAATACCCTCGTACTTTTCAGTTTGTTCCTATTGCTTGGGCATATACAGAATGTAAGACATTAAGATATGCAGACTATCAAGAAACCCCTTTGTCAGACTCTCTTATATCTGATTCAACTGGACTTCATAATAATTAAAGAAAAAAAAAAGTTATTTCCAGCTCTAGTTAATAAAACACACTTATCATGATGATGCAGTAAGATAATCTGTGAAATCAGAATTAGTAAAACAAAAATTAAAAAAAAAGAAATTTTATTTTGCACAATGAGCATAGACAGGTTTTTGGAGAAGAACTGAACAACTATTCTGCTATAATCTGGAAAATAAGCATAAGCCAAAAGATTTGCAGCACTGAGAGAATGGGAAGTCTTACATTATCTAGCTAGCATTAAGAATCAAGCAATTAGCATGGGGATGAGACTTCAAGTCCTATCCATCTTCATTTTTCTTGCTACTGATTAGAATGCCATAAGAAGAAAAATATGAAATGCTAAACACTACACATGCAATTTTAGATCTGCTGTATTCAAGATACTTGGGGGTTTCTCCCCTGCATCCTGAGACTATCATTTTGCTTTAGACTAGTACTCTGTTAAAATAAAATTTCAAATGTAAACTCTCTATGCATAAAAAATACACAGATAATCCCTCCCAAATATGGCTTTGAAATCTGTGCAATCAGCAAACCTACTGAGACAGTTTGTGAGCAGTAGAGACAGCAAGCTTTTCTGTCTGTTCCAGGAAAGAAAGGACATCTATAGGTTCATCTTCTGGCAAAATTATCAGAGCAGTGTTTGACATATCCTCCAGAATTCTCTCAATTCTGCATTCCAGGATATCAGCCGCTTCTTTGACTACATAGTCCAACTCCCTCAGGGTACTATAAACATTCTCAATAACTAAGCAAGGAAAACAAAATGAAAACAAATCATGCAAAATACAGACCTCTTAAATCTCACCTTCCTTTCCCCTTCTTCCCACCCCACTCCAGGTATTACAATAAAATGAGGATTTACTGGCAATGAAATATGGAATTAAGGCCTGAAATAGAAACATGATGGACTTGTTCTACTTTCAAGTCTTCAAATGAAACCATTTTAAAATAAATAGTACACTAGCGTTCAAAATATCTCTTCTTTTTTGTGTTGAAGAACATTGTAATGAAAAGGATCAACAAAATACAATGGAAAACAGAAAGGATACAACTGTCCAAAATATTATTTTGGTCCTCCTACATACATACACAGTGAAATCAAATACTTTTGTAATTGTAATTAACTTATCAAGTCAATGGCTATAATTCCCCCAGCCAAGATTACATACTGGTTAAACCACTAGATGTCTTCTTTCATGCATATGACCTAACTTACTTTGGAAAGAGATAAACTGAGTGCTTTAACAGATGTGTTTATTAAACTAGGTAAAAACGACTGTTTCTGAATAGACTGGATAAATTCTTTCCCTGTCTTTCATAGTTTTCATTGCAAAGAAGAAAGAAATATGTCACCTTACACCCTTTGTCTTTGTCTTTGTTATTACCAGACAGTACCATTTGAATCACCAATACTCCTTCTTACTGTATGTAGAAAGAAAGCACTATGATATCTGAGACATGGCAGTGTGACAATGGTGTCCAACTGCTGATGCTTTAAATGGAAAACATAATTTATTCCTATTAGGAAATTAATGATGGAGCTCGTCTTTTTTTATTGACGAAAACGAACAAATAATCCAACCAATTCCTTAGCTTTTTTTTTTTTAAATATATAAATTAGGTAGTCCTAAATCCATTTTTTTGCCTTGTCTCCTGAGTTTTAGCCTAGGAGGCAACCATGGGCCCCCATACTTCTACATATTAGATGGAAATAAGGTACTTAAGACATTAAGCTCATGCATAGTGAATTCAGCATATTGCTGGTAGGTCAGAGTTATTTTGTATACAATGAACCAATGGCTAATTTGTAAGTGTCAAACATGCATTCTGGGCATGTTAGACATTGCACATCTTCAAAAAGATATGACGCATACACTCAAGAAAAGCATTCCTTTCTAGGGGTGATTCCATTTCAGCTGCAGCAACAGGAAACAGGAGGTAGCCCAGATACTCCTGCTGCATAACCTCTACCTTATCAAAACAGGCCAGTTTCCAGCAGATCCAAAGAACCATTAAAACCTGAATTATAGCTATTCAGATACTTAACATAGTGCAGAGAATACTTAAATGAATAAATAAATAAATAATATTGTGAAGACCTTATGATGCATTACTAAACCATGCAAACCAAACACAAAAATTCATTTTAGAGCTATAAAACAAACACAAAAATCCACTTGCAATTGTTCTTTTGTGCTCTGGTCAGGCAAAGGTCAAGAAAAGCTAAAAGGTGAACAGCCCTGCCTTAAGCACTGGTCAAAGCCCTGTGCACCAGTGCCACACGGCAGAGTCACAGATGAACAGCTGCACAAACCCATGCCCCATTTCACTTTCCGATTTAGGCTGCATCTGTTCCTGTTTATCTTGCTGCTTTTCATTTTGAAGAAAAGCGAGAGCCTAACATCAGTCTGCCTCAACTGAAAACTGATTTACAAGCATGTTTTCCCCTCATATAGATGGAGTGCTTTTCCTAAAACTGACAAGGAAATATCTGGCAGGTACCACCTAACAGCATCAACAGTTCACCACTTCTTCTCCTACTACATACATTTATTGATGTTCAAAGAAGTCCATGACAGGTGCATCAGGCCCGGAGTAAGGGCGTCCTCAATTTGTCCTATGAATGGTTTCATCAGTGGTTTCAGAATAACAGGAATCCCATTCAGACGCTCTTTGTAACTGATCAACAGATTCTGCAGTCTGCAAGACATGATCATGTTTAGAATGTGCTTAATTCAGATATTTGAAACTTACAGAAGTTTGGATGTGTTTTCTATTAATAAGATTTGCAAGTTCTGACCCCATGTTAAAAATAAGAACTCTTCCCAGCTCTTCCTAGCTCAAACTAAGCCTCTTTCTCCCCAATAACAGAAGAACCAGACTGGGGAAATAAGTACCTCCAGCAAAGTGACTGTGATCAGTTTAGAGAAACTTTCTTCCAAGGAAAATTTATTACAATTAAAAAAACCAGGCAATTAAAACCATGGTATTTTTGTTCCCTTCTTCCTATCTCACAAGACACAGTATGAAAGGACACTGCTTATAAGAAAAGCAAGATCTAAACCACTTAGGACACCAAATCCCAAAGAAAAAGAGGCCAAATTCTGAATCAAGACTTACCAATATAGTTCCATGAAAATGGAGCTACACACTGAAGCTGCATAAACAAGAATTAGAAGCAAATGCAACTCAGTAGTCAAAGATACAAAATGGGTACCTTACAAGAACTGATGCAAAAAAAGTAAGAGCTGTGTCCTGTGTCAGATTAAAACCATGACTTTAAACACCATTGTTACAAACTGTGTATTGAGATAACCCATTCGCAATATACCCAGAACCATTTTTCCAGTGTTGCTTAAGCAAAAATCTGCAGTCTTTGAATATTCCTTTTTTGCTTGGGGAGTCAGTCTGAAGTCTTTTTTAGAATAGAAAGTACATTTGGGTATTTTTTTATTGCAGACATTTTCTGTACTTTTTTGTTTCTCTTGGATGGCAAAAGTTGGGGCTGTTGCTTTTTAAAGGACTGTAGCACATAGAGTTTGCCTTGCACATTAGAAATTTTAGGTTAGTTTGTCCTAAAACATTCCACAGATAATTAATGAAAAATGTCATATTTCACTCTTATAATAGAGTGAGAGATTGAAAGCTTTAACAATAGAAAAAGGGAGGAAGGGTTGAATTCAAGTGTTTATGAAACTCTTTGAACTTTGCCCTTTTTTGTCCACTTTTATTTAAAAACTATCTAAAGAACACTCCTCACAAAGTATGACTTTTTTTAAGACCTATCATCCTTGCTTAGAGAGTTAGAGAATTAATAATCAGAATCCCTGAGAATGAAAAGAACTCTTCCAGCACAGAATTGGACTGTTACAAGAAGCAGAAAGAAATTATTTCAAATCAAGCTTATGAGAGAGCATATTATAACTTAGGTGATGTATTACCTATATAAATGTTTGGGTTGTGCCTTAATCAAGTGGTAAATTCCAGCTTGTTTTTCTAACAGAAAAAAGCTTTTGATGTTACCTGTAGTATTTTGGAGTGTAATCTCTACGTTATAGTGACACATGCCTTAGCAGTACCTAGCAGCCCCACTTACAGAGCAGCTGTTGCAGTAACAAAACAAAAGCATGTAGGCATTTTCTAGTAACGAAATATTTGTGGAGATGGGAACAACTGCATGTTACCAATATTACTATGGAAATGCAGGGGAAAGCAATTAAATTTCAATTAAATGCCATCAAAGAGAAAAAATATAATAAATCAAAAGCATATGCAACAGATTCAAAGCTAGGGATTCCCATTTGCAGGTGAGAATCAAATCCAAAAAGTGTTCACTCACTCCATTTGATGTCTTTTAATCTGTTCTTCATCTGCACACAAGCCAAGGACAACATCTGGAACTTCAAAATGCATTTTCTTCAGGTATTTTGTTTCATAAAGTACTTCCAGGACCACTGAGTCCAAGTTTACAAGTAATTCCTTCATGCAGCAGTACAGGGGGAAAAAAAGAAATAGAAAATAAGGCAGTAGTTTGGTGGTTACATGTAGTGTGATATAACTGGAACATATAACAAGATGTAGATGACTAGAGAGGATTTTTAAAATGGATACCCATGTTTCTACATAGATCTTGATCCTCCTCTACCAATATCTGGATTTTCCAAAGTATTAATCAACCAACTTCTTACACTGACTTCAATTTCCTGTGACTCCTTCAGTGTGCCCTAACCACTTGGCTCCTGTGACTTCCTAAGTTTAATTCTAGTTCTGCAGCTATGATCTGTGGAAACTAATTTGCCTTTTCATCTCAGTTTCTCCATCAGTAGGCTAGGGAGAAATGTTGTGAAGGTTAATCTCTGTACACTTTTTGGGGTACTAAATGCTATTAAGATGTTAAATACATTTGAAAACCAGGTTCTAGTTGTCCATTATGGAAGCATTAGTTCAAAAAATGCCACATTTTAACCATAATTTCTCTGCACTACAGCAGAAAAAATAATCTGTGAAGTAAGAACAGTAAGATTTTCTGTCTCAGCAAGCAGTTTTGAAAGCAAATTAATGAATCATTGCAATATACTCAACACAGTGATGTTGACCACTACAGAAAAGACCATGATCCAATTAAAAATTCCTTCCTTGACTAAAATTCAGTTAACATAGAAAATAAAACATGAAACATTATCTAAAAAGATGCAGATAAGTCAGTAATAGATATGTATTTGGTGGGTACTGCCTCTTTTACTCCCTGAATGAGGCAGGAGCCTTATGAAGCAGAGACATGATGAAGTCTGTACCATAAATATACACAAAAAGGAAAAAAATATACCAATTCAAGTAGTTCATTTTTTTAACTGTTAGGATTATTTTAATGCTGTACTTGTCTATCCATGATATGATTAAAGTAGCATATGTAATACTAAACAATGCAACAGTAATACAAAGTATAAATCATATTTACCTTGGTTTCTGGGTGCCTGACAAGTAAGGAAGCACACAGAGCATTTCGAGCCTGGTCAGCAAACCTGCACCAGGCTCTATGATAAATAAGTTCAAATTCCAAAAGAACTGAAGCCATTTTATTGTAGCTCTTAATAACCTTTTTCATTTCCAGTGTCTGCAATTCAAGGTGGGGGGAAAAAAAAGCAAACACCACTTAAACAATTAGATGAGTCTAATAGTAGAAATGCCCTCCACTCGGCTTTTCCTCACCACCGTTAGGAAAACAAAACAAATAGAAAGCTTTAAGCTATGCTTTTTTAGAGATAAGGTAAGACACAGAAACATAGAAATATATTTAGGAATTCAATTATTAAGAAGTATTTAACTGTTCTAAACAACGTAACTCTGTTCCTGATTTTTCTTCCCAGTCTTGCCCATAAAACAAAGTCTATACTATGGCCTATACAAGGCACTGATGCTCCTCTGAGAAAGCTATAAAATTTTACTCTTTCATGAAGTGTGTCTAGTGTTTGAGATTAAATATCTCAGTCCTCTTCATTACGGAGCATAGCAGACAGAAGGCTCTAAGCTTAGGTACGTGGCCAACAGTGCTACTATCAGGATTAACATGAGCAAAGCCCCAGAAGGGACAAAAGCACCAGCCTAAGTCATCAGTTTAATGTCTCAAGGGAAGTAACTGTCCTGAGCTGTAAAATAATAATGCTGGAAAAAGGATTTTAGATCCTGGAGCAAACACTAACACCTATCCTGTTGAATGAACTTGAATACAAGTTGCTAGAAAAGTGAGGTTAGGAATATAAAAATAAATCATGTGTCTGTTAATAACATGCTTGAAAGCTTAGCATAAATCCTCCTCTGCTAATTTCCAACCTTCAAAAGTGTGGTTTTCTTTTTAAGGAATGTCATTGGATGGTCAATTTTTCGGTATAACTGCTGAGCCCACATAATCTTCCCTGTTACCTAAAACACAGAAGATATGAGGTTATACTTCCATTAACTTAAAAACAGTCAAGAAGCAAAGTCCTTTTTCTCTCTCATTTATGTCATTCTTACTGGTGGTATATTACGTGGTATAGGTGGATTTTCTTTTTGCTTCTGGTAGAGTTTTTGAACAAACTCTAAGTCTTGGCTGTACTGCTGAAGGACAATGGTATACTTTTCATTAAGATCAATATGATTTTCTCCTATTTGTTCAAGCTTCATCAGAACTCCCAGCATCTGTTCAGTCTAAAAAGGAAGATGGAGCATTTACTCCAGAAGATGTTAATAGTTCAGAAAGTCATTGTTCATAAACTGTTTAATTTATAATATGTTATGTAAGTTTGCAAGTTGTTTTCTAAAAAACACAGAAAACTCCATTCAGACAAGTTAGTGAATTTTACTTCTGTATTTTGTCCCATTTAGAATATATTTACCAGAGCATGAACCAAGAAACTGCTACCACTACAGTATAATGGAATAATTATTTTTTTTCTGACTCTCAAATCATGACACTTTTTTTTTCTGCAAACAGTTGCGGTAGAACACCTACACCTTTACTCATGCTTCATTAACATCTCATATCATGATCAGGGCCTGAACCAATGATCAGTACTGACAATAAGGTAACAGATGGCGGAAATTATTTCATTAGTCCTGCCAGCCCAACAGGAACAACTTAGAAATGCATCAGGAAGCATGGGAACACCAGGATGAAGAAAGAAAATACACTTTAAAAAAATAGGGCTATAAAACTGGCAAGAAAAGATGGAACATAAAACTGGCACCAAGTAACAATGAACATTATCTTCCAGCACTTCTGCAAGTGACTTTTAGAACACTTGTAATAGCCTTGATATCCTCCTACATTATCTCAGGCAGCCACCAGGACAGTACAGAACACTGGCAGTAATGAAGGAGTTCAGTAGGAGCTGTGGGTACTCACCCTTTTTGAGCACCAGAACAAGGGGTTTGCATTTGTAAATTACTTACAGTTACAGTCTTCTCAAACCAGGAATCCACAAATTCTTGTATGGACTCGTACAATGCTGCAATTTGGTTCTTAAATTCAAGGTAATCTGTTTCAAACTAGAAAAGGGTAAAAGAAAAAAAAAAATCATCTATAGTGTTGCTTTCATTTCATACAAAATTCCTTCCCTGAAGTTTTTGGGGAATTTGCTTTATCTGCCCCATACATGTATTCAGCACTGAAATAAAACCAGGGACAACACCAGTAACAAAGACATCTAGATTCTAAGTAAAGCAAACAAAAAATAAGACATGTTAGGTTATATCATTAAAGCCTCATCTTCATGAACACAAAGGAGCACAGAGGAACAAGGACAGGCAGAGGAAATTGAATAACCTAATCAAAGCAAACAGAGCACACTCACCAGCTACTCCCAGCACTGCCACAGAAGAGCACTCAGCTCACTGTCCAGGTATGAAACCCACCAAGATGAGCAAACTGGCAGGCTCTCTAAAGCACCTTACAGACTAAGGGAGGTTATTGCCTAGGAGATAAGGGACTCATTGCAGTTTACTAGGGAAGAGC